ATGTTAAGAACTGACAGTGGGATTTAAGCAGGAGGCCCCAAGCTGTCTGTATGTCCTTGCTTACTTAATGTCCTCTACCAGGTGGGGTTCTTTGAAAGCAGGAAGACCTGATAGAAGGGAAGAAGAGCATCCAAAATTCCCTCCTTTTATAGTACTACTCTTGCTACTGCAGCAGTCCAGAGCAGAGGGCATCAGCAATTGTCCTTAATGATCCTGAGTCAAAATCCAACAGATCAGAGATGCTCGCTCCTTAACAAAATAAAGCTTTGTTAGTTTCCCTGGGTTTGGTGGAGACTTTATTTTGTCTATGTGGAGCCAGGGAATGTGCTGGAGCGCTGCAGAGCTGAACTCTGCTGTCCCTCTCTGTTGCTTTTTCACTTGCAAAGTAGCTGCTGGATCTTCTTCAGGGCTATGAACTCCAGATCTGAACCTCCAAAGGGGCTGCCTGGGTGCTAGGTGACATGAATAAACAAACCCAAAATAGACAAGTTATAGAGGGGAAAAAATCCTGATGTTGAGTTGTTAATCTAATCTTTTTTGGAGCCTTGCAGCTCTGCTGGGTTCAGCTGCCACAGGGAGTCACTCTGAGCACATGGTTTCTGCTGGAGAGACAGATATGTCCACACTGGCTTCCTGCTGAGCAGTGTATGTAGCTGTCGCAAAGGCAGTCGGCTGCTGCTGCTCAGTGCTGGCTATGCAGTATGCTGAGAAACCTACAGTCCCAGCGGAGTCCCTGAACTCTGCTGAAGGCCCTGATCTTACAGACTTGCATGACTCAGGCAGCGGTGACTGTTTCTCAGAGAGTGGGTTCAGTTCCCTCGGACAGGTACCACAATTTCAAAAATTCTTTATGAACTGAGGGGGAGGATCTTGAAGTGTCCAGAAATGGGAGGCATAAAAGGAACTTGCATCTTTGGAATCTGGGTCTGCTTTGCACCTTCTGATGCAGGATTCTCATGTAATATTGATGAAGCCTTTGCATACAGCCCACATGGGGATTTATTAATTGTGGCCACCCTCTTGAAAACAGGGGTATTGCAATGCCTCGTGACTTCTAGATCATTGCCTTCTGTCTTGACCCTCTGTTATTCCTCTCTCACCTCTTCTCTAGCCATGAGACCCCCTCTTCAAATGTCAGTGTTGCTGTGGGCAGAAGTAGGGAGCTGTTCACTGTAGTCAGCATTGCAGCAGGAAGCACAGGTCAGCTGACCAGGAACGTTTATCTGCTGTTCCTACAGGCATGACAGGCTTGATTCAGAAGGCTTAACCCGTTTCAAACAGGTTAAGACATAAGCTCAAGCATGTGTTAAGTGCTTTGCAGAGCAGGGCTGCTTCACAGACTTCAACCTTGATTTGTCATGGAGCTGAAACGTATCAGGTTTTTGGTGTCTGTCTCCCTATTCTGTAACAACTTTATCGGACTGTTTCTTTGGCTGAGGAAGGGGATCATGAAAGAAGCTGAATTAAGTTAGCAAAAGTGGTAGAGTCAAGCTCTGAGGAGGCTCTACCAGCACGGCACTATACCCCTTCAAGATTTGGTTCTGATTTTTTATGGAATTTGTCAGACAAAAAGGTTGGGAAGCAGTTTTATAACTGCCTCACTTAAGCCTCTCCACTTCCTTGAGCCCAAGGCTGACCTGACCTTCTCATCTTCATCTCCTTTCTCAATGCTTCTGTCTTTATACCACCGTCCTGTGCGCCCTGCTGCTCCTTGCTCTGCTGCCAGCTCTGGCAGTGCCAGAACCCAGCCAGGGCGAGGAGGTTCCTTGAGACCAGCTGCTGACTGAGCTGATCCTGTGTGAAGGCAGCCCTGGCTCTGCAGAGGGCACTTCCTTTGGCTCTGGCCTGCACCTTGCCTAAGATGGGCTTGTGCACAGTGGGAGCTACTGACATAGAAGAATGGGGAGCTTGAGACCTGCTGTTGACCAGCTTTTAGAGTGCTAGCCAAAAGGTCTTGGGAGTCTAACAAGAGGTGAGTTCTGAGCCTGGCCAGGGTCAGGTATTGCTTGGAGGCCCATCAGTGGGTCTGCCTGTGCAGGTCACTTAGCAGGGCTGCCTCATGCGCTTGAGAAAGCTCTGGTATGTGGAGAGGGGACTTGACTGCAGCCTGTGTCTCTGTGGAGCTTCTGGGACAGAAAACCCCTTTGTGGGGAAAGCATAAGAAAGCAAGTAGTTCCAAACCTCTTTAGGGCCATTTGCATTTCTTGTTTCCCATGTTTGTTAGCACTTAATCACTAATAAACAAGCAAGAAAAAATGAGTGGAAATGGAACCATTAAAAGCACTGACCCCTTGGATACAGTTATGACAACAACATTAGCAGTGAAGTAAGGCTGCCTGTAACCTACCTCTCCATTTGTAAGGCATTCTGGAAAATGCGGGGCATGCATTGAATTCTTTTGGAAGATGTTTGTTTACTGGGATACCTTTTCTTTGCTCCTGCACTTGCATTCACATTGCTTCAGTGTCTGGCAATGGAAGGATGCTGTGTCTTTAAAGCCTTCTCAGGGCTTTGCGGAGGCAGTTCCACTGAAGTATTTGAATGAGAGCAAGAAGGGGGTGTGCATGTGGCTATTGGCAGAGCTCTGTATGACATCCCTCTGAACAGCTGGGCTCTGCTTTGCTTCAGAGCTGCTTGTCAGAGCAATTAGCTTGCTGTAGCAGCAGCAAAGATCGCTAGCATTTCATTGAGGGGTGGGAGCAGGGGGGCTGAGGCGGGGGAAGCTTTTTAAGAAGCAAAATTCCCCTGGCAAAATTCCTCTTGAACTGGTTGTGGCAATGAAGTCTCCGTTGAAATCAGGAAACAGATGACCTCCTGAGAGTGCAGAACCACCAGGGTGAGTTTATTCTTAGCATTAAGTCTCCAATGATTTTGGGCTTGAGAAAGATTGACCAGAGACTTTTCTTTTCCTCTCCCTACACCCCCACCATGCAAATACAGTATAGGTATAAATGCGAGCAAGTGTTTCAGGGATGGGGACCTGACATCATTCACCTCTGGTAAGTAAGTGACAGGATTTCTGCTTCTTGATGGGGTTAATTTAAAAAAACTTCTATACTAAAATGAATGCACGGCTCTCTGATCACATTCAGGGCTTGAGAGCCTGAGCTGAGCTTTTGCCTTCCTCTTTTTGTGTTGCTGGGAATGCACCTACAGGAAACAGGGGAATCCCCGATAAGCATACTGTACTCCTCCATGTCATTAAGGAGTTCCCAGTGCCAGGCTCATGGGATCTCCTTGTGTCTTAGCTTGGTGTTTATGCAACTTGCTTTGGGTAGTTTCTGTTCATTTTGCAAAGCGAAAGTACCCCCTACTCCTCTACAAGGTTATACTTGAAAGGATTTGCTTGTTTGAAGTTGGCTAGTTGCTGGCAAATGTTGACTAGCTGATTGGGTACATGCCGTATGAAATTTTCAGGTTAGCTTATGCAATTTGATTGAGTCTTATAGGACTATGTATATTTGTGCCCTCGTATATTTTAACCTCCTCTTCTATTATTTTAAACCTCTCACTAAATTGGGTTTGGTTTTAGTGGAATCAGGAGTTTGGATCCCTTTTACCTCCTTTCCATACATGCTTAGCTTCCGGTCTTGCCTAAAACACAAGGCAATGGAAATGATGCTCCCTTCATTTGAGATTTAGTGCTAGGAACTGGTTTTCCTGGGCTTAATGAACTACTTGGTTACAGTACTACAGGATCTTCATCTAAGTGTGCTGGACCTGTTTCCTTTCCCTTCATCCCTTTAAAGTGCTTATTTAGAACTGGAAGCATCACCTGTGGCTTGAGGATCTGCAAACAGTAACAGCATCTGCTGCAATGAATGGTGAACACTTCAGCAGGTGAAGGCTGAGTTCATCTTGAGGAAAGCTTAAGCCGTTTCAGAAAGTGGGAAGATGTACGCTTCACCTACTCTTCAGGTTCCCCCTTCGTTGTCACATCCAAGTTCTGCAGCGGGCAGCCCAAATGTGGAGCTGATTTTTTTCTCATTACTTCCCCTTTCATTCAGTGATCAAATCAATTTCTGGATCTCGCTTGGAAAACAGCCACAGTGTCCTGTTGTCTACTTTAGTGTGTTGAGTGGTTAAGAACTATCCTCTGCTAACACGGCAATAAGCAGGAGCATCAGCCTTAAAAACGGGAAGGGGAAATGCTATAGATAGCAACCCTCCTTTTTCCCTTCTCCCCAAGGAAGTGTGCCAGGAGAGGGCAGGCTTTGGGTCTGATCTAGTCAAGTTTGAAGATCTGTGCTTTGCCAGCCCAGGTCAGCTCAGGAGTGGCAAACTGGGCTGGGGAATGCCTTGCTCTCTGAGCCAGCTTTTCTTAATGTTGTTTGTGCTTATGCTTCTGATTGGCCCAGGCACGGCACACAAGAAGCATGCCAGCAAATAGGTTCAGAGCTATTTCTAATCTTGTGCTTCTTTCCTGAGCCTAGTTGCCACCCCTGTATCTGTGGGTCTCCTGTCTGCTGTGATATTTTGTTATGGATGAGTTCAGATGGAGGGAATTCTGCTCAGGATTATCTGAAGGAATTAGGGCTTGTAGCAGTGGGAACTCCTGCCAAGATTTTGCTTCTCAACCTTGGAAGGGTTAACAGAAATTCCGGTTCAATGCTGTCTTACTGCATCTTGACACTGTAGAAAGTAGGTGGATAATTTCTTGCTAGCTTTTCAGGAAACCCCTGTGGTGGACAACCCTCATTAATTGTTGCTGGGAAACAGCTCTGACGTCACTGGAGCAGTTCCCTGGTCTTCAGATGAATACAGTAATAGCTTGTGATGGAGAAAGGAAAAGCAATGTGAAATGGAGAAGGGAACCCTCTGACAAACTGATCTTTCTTTCACCATCCTGCCTAAGGACCCTCAGAGGACCTGTCCACAAATATTTATAACACTATCTTTGGACTGAACTTAAGCTCTTCCTTCTCAAGAACTGTTTATATTGATGGCTCCTCTGATCCTTTCACTTTTTAACTATTGGCTATTTTTTTTTCCTCCCCCAGATTTTGTAAACAAAGGATAAGAGGGCTCTCACTGGGCTTGATTGCAGCCCCCAAAATAAACTTGAAAGAACAACGTCACTTTTATCGTCAAATAAATGGTAGTCCCTTAGACTAACAGAGGGAGAGCAGAAAAACTGAAGATGGTTGCCACTGCTGTGACCTTCAGGCTAAGAGAAGCGCGTAAGCCTGATCCTGAGACTGTTTAAACCCACTTTCTCCAGTATCATTTAAATGCTTCTCTTTGCAAACCCTCCTGTTGTTCGTGCTGTTTGTGCAATAGGTTTCTTTCTCCTCCTGTTGTCCTGTCTGTCCTGTCTGTCCATCCTGTCAGCCTTTTGGAAGTGGTATAGAGCTGTGGGTACCTAATAACTGTAGCAGGAATTCTCTACACTTCCTGGAAAATAAGAATAAGCAGAATTTACCTATCCCGTTCCAAATCCTTTGAGATTTTTGTGCCCAAAAGTGCTGTTTAGCAGCAAAGAACATGTACTGGGTTGGCAACTGAATCTGTTTGCAGCTAGGCCACTAGATGGCTTGAAATGAAAGTCAGCTGTGCTGTGAAGTGTTAGTATTGAGAGGTCCCAGTGGTGACACTGGGCCAGGTACCACTGTCGTTGGTGTTGAGCAGACTCTGCAAGTTAGAACTCCATTCTCTTTTTTCTTGTCTGGTTGTTTGACCATAAAAGCTATTTCAGTGCAGGGTGCCATAACAGTCACTAAAAATCCATTATTTTAAATGGATTTCTAACAGTTTGTCATGCACCTTCATGAGATATCTCCCCCCACACACACCATTTCTTCTGTTGATGTTTAAAAAGAAAACATGCATCAAAACTTGAGCAGCAAATGTAGTTGGGGGGAGGGGGAGGCTCTCAGAGGGATCTGGGGATCTTTACAACCTCTGGCTTTGGTGCTGAACTGAATTCTTGTCCCCAGGAGATCTCAAGCATGCCTCAATCCAATGATTCCTTTCTTCCTGTGTCATCAACTTTTCGAAGCAGAAATGAGATGGGAACTCTGATCTTGTGTAGCATATAGGCTGCTTTGGGAGGAAATAAAAAGGAACTGAATATGCAAACTGGATGCTGTGAACACATCAGTCAACTCTTCACTGAAGTTACCTGTCAGGCATGTGGGAACTCTTCCTCCTGTTACTACTCCCAGTCAGAAATTTTCATGCGTAGCAAGCGGACAAGGGAAGGTTCTTTCTGTTTTCTTTTGGTTGCAAGCCCCTGAGTCCCTCAGCTGACTCAGTGATGACAGCTGACTGCACTGTGCAGTAGATGATGCCATCCTCAATACAGCTGCTTTGGAATTGCATGACTGGGTAGAGCCAGGCAGGTGCAAGCTAGGGAATTTGAGAATGGCAGGCTTGAGAAGAAATGGAGACATTTCTCCTTTACATCCAGTAAAGCTTATCCTGCTCTTCAATATGCGATCTGGATTATTTGTTATTGAGGATTTCTTTAAAAAAAAAAAATGTTTTCATGGTTAGTCTTGACCCTGGAGGAACTTGGGTGATCTGAAATGTTTTCATAGAAGAACTGTACTTTACCAAGGCCTTGGATTAAAATAGCACTTTATGAAGTTAAGCACGCAGTAATATTTGATACTTGTGGGCATGAGAAAGCTGTTGTTATCACAGAGTTGCTTGTGTAGGCTTGTAAAGTACAAATTCAGACTGGAGGTGAAGGTCCTAATGCTGTCTTTAATTTCCTACTGAACATTTTGCAGAAACTGGCTGGACTACAAATAGACTTACGCTGTTGCTGCCATAGCCTCCCTTCTCTGAATCCAGCAGTGCAGGATGAAATGAACCTGCTAAATCTTGGCTCTGCTTTGGGGAAGTAAGTGATGCAGTTGTGTGCACTGATGTCATCAAGCGAGAATGCCCAATGGCACTAGAGATCTGGGTGACCCTTGGGGTGTGTGTGGGAACCCCTGCATGATGTGTAAATGACTTCAGTGGGAGAACAGCAGAGGTCTTTCTCACATAAAGGAGGCAAGAGCTTTATACAGGGAGTACTTGCGTGATGTCTTTGCTCTTTTTCTCAATGTGTTTGCTACCCTTCCTGCCTTCCAACAGCTCTGGAAAGAAAAATGAAGGGATTTTGAAGACTTTCTCCCCAAAGCACTTCTAAAGTAACTAGTGTGAATGACTTATGACCAAGCAGCTATTAAAACCTAATCGAATCTGGTTTGGGCATGGCATGGGTTGAATTCCTGGCACATGAGCAGAATCTGTATTACTTAATTGAAGTGTCATTTCTACCCTTCATGTTGGTTCATGTGGCATAGGTGTTGCCAGTATTATGCTTCAGCTAGCAGGGTATGCTGAGTATACTGGAATTCCCACTAATAATAATAGTCCTGCCTTGGTTTGATACTTTTTTCCATCCAAAGGATCCCAAAGCTCTAAGTTATGTATGGAAGTTATCTCCTTTGCTACTGAAAAGCAGCCACCCCTGGCCTGAAAGCCACCCAGCAATTAAAGTTGCACAGAAACCACAATGTGTCAGTTTGACACAGGAAGCAAAGGCCTGTCTTGAGTGGGAACACTTGGAATCTAGAGGAGGAAGAAATGAATTATTCTGCTTTGAATTTTTCTGTCCTGGGACAAGTGCAAAGAGCACTGCCATGACTACTCAGGCCCTTAAGTTTATCTTCCACAGGAGGCTGGATCTCAGCACAACAGGCAGCAGATTAAAAACTGCAGAATCCCCAGCACAATGCTCTGATGCAACAGGTAGATAGCTGAACGTATTCATGTTTCAGGCACAATTCAACAGCATCTCCTGTTTCCTTCCCTCACAGGGAAAAAAGAGCTCCTCTTCTTCTCCTAAAAGACTTCTGCCTTCCATGTGCTGCCCAAGCACCTTACAAGTTCTAATGAAGTTTGAGTCTTAGCCCCTGGTGCTGTTCTTCATATATCCAGCATGAGTGCCTTGTTCTCGTGTTGATGACGAAATGAAAAGTAACCATGACTTGAGTTAAAGTGGCTTTTATCTAACCGTTTGGAGCAACAGACCTCACGTAGTGGAGCCCTCTTCCTTTCTGGGACTCATCTCCATTGCAGGCAATTACCTCTACTGGGTGCTCTCTTCACAACAGCTGTTGTTGCCTCATGTGTTTTCATTTAACTGTTTTTGTTTTATCTTCTGCTGAAATACTCATTTTCAGTGAAAACAACTCCACTGTGCGTAGGAAAAGATGTGTAGTTTTAGCAGCAGCTCTCAGGCTGCACAGTGTAGATGTCTGCCCATCCCTGGATAACGTGATCCCAGAGGCTTTGGCGTAGGGAGGCCCTGCTGCGTTCTCACTGCTTCCATGCCTACCTAGGGGCTGTGTTACTCTGAACTAAGATCCCTAGATAGAGCAGGTAATTGACAAATCTGAGGGAGGTGATCCTGCCCTGGGGAGGTGGCAGCCTGCCCGTGAGGTTGTCATTTGTCAAATGTGCAACGAGCCTCCAGAAATATGGCTTCCTTTCAAACCAGCATTGGGAAGGTCCTGTTACTACAGTGTGTGTCATGCTCCTTGCCTTCCAAGGGGCTGGACTCAACTGTGAAGGTAGTGCTCTGTGTAGAAATTGAGTTACATCTAGATAGAAATGACTGGTTAATAAAATTTGACTTTTTTAAGTCTACAGACAAAACCTGCTCTATCTTTTGATTCTTTCCTGTCTCAGATGCCACTGCACCTTTATTGTTCTGGCACATCTGATGCCTGTGTATCACAGGAAGATGATTTCATCAGTCTTGACACTGGTGTCACACTCTTGGAGTATAAGAATAGCAAGTTGACACCTGTCCTAGTTTCAGTGCTTTCACTGATTGAGGGAGGTAACAAAAATAACAGTTTTTTCCTTAAGTTATCTAGTTGTTTGAATTATTCCACATAATGAAATCCACGTACCACGTGCTGCATAACCAAGAAATGCTGCCGTGGTGATAATTCAGATGTTTCTATAACACACAGCCCTACTGGCTATTACTCCAGTTAGAGCTGACTGTGCCTGCACTAGTATTAGAGATGATGAAGAGCTAGGATCATAGCTGCTCTCCAAGCTCCAGTTCCTGCATTCAGCCACAGAGGGATACAGATGGTCTACTTCTTGTGGGGCTTCATCAAGTGAGCCCCAGAGAACCAAGGCCACCACAGCTAGGCTCTTTGCTTAATAAATATGAAGTAGAGCCTGATATGGGGGCTTTCCACAGCTGTGGGTGAAGCCAATTTAACTGATGTCTTCCAACCCACCTTGGAATTATTTGGGACAAGTTGGAAATCTGCCAATTTTCTGCAGATAACTTAATTTTCCACCTTGCCTGCCTTTCCTGCCTCCTTCTTCAGATAAGGTTATTTCCCCCCTTTCCACCTGAAGTCAAAACCTTCCATCTACATTGTAATTTCACCTCTTTGATGTAATGTGGGGGTGGAGATTAAGATTTAAAGCGATGACTAAGCAGTGGGAGCCTGTGCACTGTGCATTCAGATGCATCTGGACTCTTTTTTGTTTCTTTTTTAATAGGAACTGTAAGGTACTGAGAAATTAAAACTCTCTCTTCCACTGATGATAAAAAAAGCAATGGAGAAAATCCTGAAGAGGTTGCTTCATTGGCTGAGACAGTTGCAGCTTGTGACTGTTCAGAAGCTTCAGGGCTTTCTCATTGAATGAGATGCTCCTTCTAGCCAGAGCTGCTACCTGTGATAGGGAGCTATTTTCTCCAACAGGAGGAAAAGAGAGTGTGTTTGAAAGGTTCTTTACGTGTGTGTTTTCAAGGTATGGCTTCCGACTTTCTACAGGGTGCTAGGTACCACCCAGTTGGTGCAGGGAGCTTACATTTTGCAGAGGAGACTGAGAGTCCAGATAGAGCCTGGGAGGGAGATGTTTGGGGAGATACATGGCCTTAGTGGTCCAACTAGCAAAGCCTTTTATTACAGCCTTTTGATGCATCTGTTAGGTAAATTTAAATTCAGCAAAAGCTTCACCAGCTGCTGTGCTCTAGGAGAAAACAAAAACCTTTCTGAAGATCGCTCAGTGCAGAGAGGGAGCACTGCGCAGCCTGACTTTAGGTACCTCATGTGTGTTAGTCAGTAGGACCAAAGAGGCTTTAGTGCCTCCAGTTTGCAGCACCTTCTCCATCTTGCCGCCCCCACTTCTTCCTGTGAAAAACCATTTTCTACAGCAGACGCGAGCAGCAGCATCTGCTCAAGGAAGGGGAAGCTAAATCACCCCCAAACTAGTCTGGTTGCTCATAGTGATAGAGCCTGTTGCCATGGAGCCGTGATTCAGATTGGTTGACCTGGAAGCCAATGAGCAAGTCGCTCATGAGAGCATCATCATTTAACCTTGCAGGAGGCACTTGCTCAGTGATATGCGATGCTAATACTAAAGCCTTACACCGAGTGGTGAAATGAAACACTTGGGTGTTAGAAAAGGGCCATTGCTTTCCCCCTTCCCTCTCACGAACTGGGTCGTCGGTTGGTTTTAATTGCCGGTTGCAGCAGCGAAGCTCCCATGGGCTGGGCCAGCTCTTCCTGGCCAAGCTCTCAGTATTCAGAACCAACTTGCTGCCCTTGGTGCCGTGTGGTGGGGACTGTCGCACCTGCCAACGAGTCACCAGCCTCAGGATGTTTATTTCTGAGCCCTCAGAGCACTTTGAGCCTGCTCAGCGCGTGACTGGATCTGTTCTAAGTATGCTGCCTTTGTATCTTATAGCCAGCCTGAGGCTGGAGAAAGCTGCTCTTCCTATGGCTGTGTCAGGGTTTCTTCTTGGCCATGAGGGACTGCAGCCTTCTCTGTTGTGGAAATCCTGTATCCCACTACATCCCAGTACAGTGTTGATGGCTTGGGATGGGTCTGTCTGGTAAGATTATACTCTGCCCTATTGTATGCTTTTTGGAGTGAGGTCTCAGAAAGCAAAAATAAGGGTTGGTTATTAACCAAGAGAAGAGACGGGAGGAGGTGAGTCAAGATTCTTGCCTGTGAGGCAAATCGTGAAGTTTGGTCAAAAAGGCTTAAGCATGCAAACTCACTCCTGAGGTCAAGGCTTGAGCAGAAACTGAGGAAACTTGGCCTGCTCACCACACTTGTGCCTTTTCCCCAAGGAAAGCAGCTTCACTTTCACGTTGTGGGACAAGCTGCCTCAGACACCTCTGTCCTACTGTAACACAGGAGTGTGCATGCAGGCAACTACAGCCATGTGTCCTTTGCACCCTCATGTAGCTCGCAGCAGAGTGTCTGTACTCTAAGAAACGAGTCCAGGAATAGAGCGTATTTAGCAGTAGGCTTCCTGCTTTCCCCAGATTTGCTGCAGGATCCATTGTAACAGTAAATGCTGAAGTCTCTTGCTTTTACTCCCTGCCTAACCAGAACCTGCCACTGCCTATGTTGTCATGGTTTGGCAGCTGCAGATTGCACATTGCAAGAAGGCAGCAGAGGTGGAATTAAATGTTCTCCTTCAGGGTGAGGAGGAGGGAATAAATGTATCCTGGCCACCCCTTCACCTGGCCCTTGGCCAGCATGCACAAACCGTCCACACTGTCACTGCCTTAACTGTCCTGTTTGCTCTGCCAGCCTCCAAACCCAAATCAAAAAATCAATGGCAGCTCCCCCTCCTCCTTTTGCTCCATTGTTCTCTTTTTCTGACCCAGATTTTGTGGCTTCCCTTGGTGTTATATCTCTACGTAATCTTTTCGTCTCCCTGGCGAAGTGCAGCTCAGTGCCACCCCGCACCTTCCATACACCCCCACCGAGTCCTCTGAACTTTCACTTTCTCTGCAAGTCACTGTCTGTCACAGCAGATCATCTCTGCCTCCCCCTCGCTGCATCCCACGCCTGTCCAGGAGGAGCAAGGCTGATTCACTCATACAGAAAGGAAACCTCTTCTAGAAGGCATCTCTGTTGAGAAGCACGAGCAGCACACATCTCTGCTTTACAATTTTTGTGCAAGGGAAATGTTCTGGAGGACTGTCATCAGGGAGGGAAAGTTTATCAGGAGGGGGCAGCACACAAATGTGTATTCAGTGGGTCTGTGTGTTCTTTTGTGAATGAGGTGAGGATAACTGATGACTCTCCCCTTGCTGTGCTGCGCAAGTTGTGTTGTAGTATGATGGGCAAGGACCCCCTTACCCTTCTCAAATTTGATGTTAGATGCTTGGCATGGGGGCTAACACTTGTTATAGTGTGGCTGTTGCAAAGAGAATGAGTTGTACAAAACCTACTCACTGATTCTAGTGCAGAAATTTCCCCTTATAAGAACAAAGCCAGCTTCATGTGTGTCGTTCAGCTGCCTCCTTCTGGCAGGAGAGTTTTTCCTTCTCCAGATCTGCTGCGTATCCTCTGGCCTATTCACCGGCCAGGCCCTTAGCGTGGATTCAAGGAGGCTGAGCAGTTTCCCTGCAGCAGGAAATGCTTGGGTAGAGGGGCAGAGTTTCCTAGCTTCACCCCCTGTGAGATCCAGCCTCCTGCTACGGAGGTTGGCATGTAAGTTAGACAAGTGCTCCCTTTGCCTTTGCTGACCTAGTTCCCATCAGAGACATCACAGCTGAGCATCGTTCCCGCATGCAGGGGCACCGTACCCTGTACAACATGTTTGCTGTAAGCCTGGGCTGGCGTTTGTAGTTCCTCTTGGCATCTGCTGGATTCCCAACCTGCTGAGGGTGAAGAATAGGCCCTTGCAGCTGGGGGATGGAGGTCCCAATGACTCCTGAAGGAAGCTCCTTTTTGCAGGTGCGCTCCAGGAGATACCTACCAAGGGGAACAACTGTTGTACTGCACAGTGTCCCATGGGATTGCTCGAGGAAGGGGTAGAGAGGAGTGAGTGATCCATACAGTGCAAGAATCTGCACTGATAGCAACCAGAATAGCAGACGTGGGCAGTAGAGGCTATCTAACCCTCTCCTCCACGCCGCAAGTGATCTGGCCTTTGGGGTCCCATCCGTACTTGGGAATCATTAGCAACAGGAGGGCAGAGGTGTTTGCAGGTTCCTCTTACTAGGCTAACATCAGTGGGGGACTGCTCTCTGCTCCCTTTTCTGTAAGAAGCTGTTGGGGGCAGCTGTTTCCTGCGAGGAGCTGCCAAATTGACTGGAGAAGGTTGTAGGTGGCTGACTGCTGAGCAGGCAGGGGGACAGCCTGCTTGGTACAGCATGATGATGCTGGGCGGAAGGATCCTGGCCCAATACTGCAGCAGGTGTGAGGATCTTGCCCAGTTATTTTTGTTCACTGTTGCCCCCTGAGATGGGAAAGATCCTTACCCCCTCCTCCAGTGTCCTCATCTTGCCACATTCTGCTGTGCTCCGTGAAATGTTGCTGTGGAATTACCAGCGGGTTTCTTGTAACCTTTCTGCTCCGGAATCAACACACATGAGCAGTGGTTGGGATCTCTTAACAGTTCTCTGTAGTGAGAAATACCTTGTTTTCAGACGGTGATGGGACATATCCCCTTGCCTTTATCCAGCCACAGCATCCACAGTCGCTGTCTCCTACAGCTGGATGTCTGCCTTGTCACATACCTGTTCCTGTGCATGAGCCAGACTGTGCTACCCCATCAGCTTCTTCCCTGTCTGCTTTTTTTGCTTTCCCCGCACCCTTTTTTCATCAATTTTAAGGGGTCACTGGGGTCCCACCCACACACCCTCAAGGTGCTACTGATTCATCAAGGCCTTGGGTTAAGTAACTTCTTCCTTTCCCTTTTCTCCCAGCTGTGACTTTGAACCAACAGCAGTAAGTCTTGGAGCTGGCAACGGCAGGGGGGAAGCACATCATAGGTCTGGCGTAGAAGGTATTAGGCATGAAGGAAGGCTAAGGTGACTGTAGCTTCCTCCCTTTCTTAGCAAGCGTCCTGTCCCTTCCTCTCTCTCACCTTGATCCAATGCAGTGCACTGGTGTTGCATGGCACTGTGCTTTCTCCAGCTGCAGCCCTGCCGTGCAAGTCTGCTTCCAGCATGCAGTGTTCTCCCTTGGCAGCAGGGACCCATCTGCCCTGAATGCTTTAGCAAGTTTGTTTCAAAACCTCCTAAGAGTACCTGAGCCAAAGGGAGTCTCTGTCTCTCTCTCTGAAACTGGAACTAGAAATTGTTACAGTAGCTGCAATAAAATTAGAATATATGTTTTATGTTCAGCAGCCCTACAAATTAAGGGGGAGTGAGGTTGAATTAGTTGGTGCATATTAGCACTCCCATGCAGAGCCAGGAGTCAATAAATCTTTGCGAGATCTGACTCTTTTTCAGCCATATCCTTCCAAAGCAGTTAATAAAACAAATTGATAAACATCAGCTGTGTTTTCCAGTGCTCAAGCCTTTTGTTTGAGTCTCTCTCAAATTTAGGCTTCCCCTTTTCCTTTTGGAGGCCTTATCTCAAAGGGCCTGCCCTTCATCTAGCCTTTACCCAGCTTCTTCCTCTGTCAGCAGGAGGAACATCAGGCTCTGCACTGTCATTGTGCCTGTGAACATGTTTCTCAGTACAAGAATCTCTGCAGTCCTGTAGAAGTTGGTTTATCCCTCACCCCAGCTCAAAGAGGCCTACTCTGAGTTAACTGAGAAAGCTGAAGTTTCAGTTCTTGGCAATAGGTTTGGAGTTCACTCTTAATTTGATGAATGGATGCATGAAATGTTCATGTCTCCTGTTTTGGACAGTCAGCAGACCGAGGTGCGTGTTGTTGCCCTGTCTAAGTTCTGCTCTAGTTCAGGTGGTGTCAGGGGCTTTGTGGGCTGACTGTGTCTTTCTTGCTAGTCAAAAAGAAACAATGAAACGCAACTTTGTCAGGAGGGACTTTTTTTCTTCTTACTCTGTAATTTGGCACTTTTTCTGAAGTATCAAAGCATATGTAGTTGGAGACAAGATATTAAGGGTCACTTTATTTCCCTAGAAACACCAGAATAACCTCTTGATTATTAGGCTGTTCTCTCACTGAAGATTGAACTGATTGCAAGAAGGACTGGGCTGGGATTTGGGAAGAAAGGGCAGGAGATTTTGTTGTTGTTTGTCCTGGAACAGAGCGCACCTCCTCCAGTTGCTGGAGTTTGTTTCACCTACTGAATTCCCTGCCTTTGCATGTTATAAGTATTAGTACTAGCCTCTGTCTCTCACACACGTCAAAGAAGTTAAAGGGCAGGGTGGCTGCATCAGAGACTTATGTATACCTCAGTCTTTTTTATCAGCCCTGCCAGTGTCTTCAGAGTCCTAGGGAGTGAGAATCGTGGCACTTTTGCAAGGCCCCCTTGAGCCAGGTGCTGCAAGGGGCTGCATCCAAGGGGATCAGTGGGTTGGCTTGCACTAGGGTGCTAGGTTTGGGGTTATTGTACGCGAGATGAATTACAAGGAAGTTACAGCCCGTGTGTGCAAGAGTTAGAGCTCCAACTGGAAACTCTCTCCACCCCCTGACTCCCTTCTACCCATTCTGTCACCTCTCCCTGCAGGTGCCCTTTGCTACGTTGTAGGACTCTGAAGATGTCAAACAGCAACACGACACAGGAGGCTCTGGAAATAATGAAAGAGTCAGAAAAAAAAGTGGTTGAAGAATCTGTGAACAAAACCAAATTTGTATCCAGGTCACCAAGCAAGGAGGAGGCGGAGAAGGATGGGGGGGAGGAGATCAACATGCGTCAGGAATCTCAGGTAAGCGTGCAGATAAGTGGGTAGTCCCTTCCGCCACCTTGCAGACTTGGGCCTTTCCTACTACCTGGCAAACACGGTCTGGTTTCTATCCCTTCTGAAAGGGTCCTCGGCCCATGCCTCCACCTTCCAAGGGGAGACCATGCTGTACAGGCTGCTCTCTTTCTCTTTGGCTGAATCTGTTCTGCTTTGGATGGAATACTTTAAACATTCATTGGGCCAGGGAGAAAATAAGACTCGTTTGCCTCTGGAGGCACTTGTGCTCAGCCACCAAATTCCAGCCCCATGGCTGTAACTTCCACCTTATTCCACTCTTTGGCCTAAAGAACATTTAATGGCATAATGTGAAGTGGAGGCATGCCAGTGAGAGCTTGGTTTGGGGAATGGTGCCTGGCCTTTTCTTTGCTGTTGTTAATAGTGCCCAAATAGGAAATTATTGTTTTGGGGGTTCATTTTGGCAAGGGCAAAAAAGGCTGTGAAGGCATCGTTTGGAGAGTGCTTGGTCTCATTCCTG